AATCTGAAAATTAAAATAAATAAATAAATAAATAAATAAGAGAAGAAAAATTAGGACTGATATTAGTGTAGCATACCTGAAAGGAACTCGTATCTTTTCCCTCTGTTAACAGTTGATGCTGCAAGTTTTGCAACCAAATCAGTGAACCAGAGTATTTTTTTAGTAATATTTAATTCACAATAATGACAGTTTAGAATAAAGAACAAAATAATTTAATAAATAATAATAATAATAATAATAATAATTAAATTAATAAATAATTATTATTATTATTATAAGAAGAAGAAGAGAAATTTACATACTAATAATATTAACAATGCTTCAACTATGCTGCAGTATTTAAAACTTCTTGGGTTTAGTAGTTAGGAGCTTGTTATATTTTTTGTGTATTTACTGTGGGAATTTGTAAAAAGGTTACATTCATAAACGTTATTTTACTTTCTCAAAAGCAGTACTTCAAAAACAATTTTTTTTTTTTTATAAAAACCAAGTAAAAGATTTAATACATTTTCTTCATCTAAAAAGAGAACTATTCCTAGACTTGATCAGACTAATATTATGCATTCCTCAACTTCAACCATCCCAACTTGAATTCCACTAATAACATCACCATCTATATCACCATCACTTTAAACAGTAAACCAGAGATATCTAAAAGGATTACTCATTTTAATGATTTGATCACTTAACTTTGTCACTAGATCTCTTACTACTAAAATTATATTCCATGTATTTGATTTTAGATATACTCAAACGACTGCCCTTAAACTCTAAAGTAGACCTCAATAATTCAAGTTTTTCCTGAACGTTTTCTCTAGTCTTAAGCAGTAGAAAGATATCATCGAAAAGCATACACCAATGTGCATCCTTTTGTAAATGTCCAGTAAGAGCATTCATAACTAAAGCAAAAGGATATGGGCTTAAAGCTAATACCTGATGTAATCCAACTAAAATAGGAAAATACTTGGTTAATTCTCATTTTATTCGAAAACAAGTAACAACTATAGTATACATATCATTAATGACTTGAATATAAGTCATATCAACACCTTTCTTTTATATGATTCTCCAAAAAACTTCTCTTTGAACCTTATTGTAAGTTTTTTTCTAAATCAATAAAAATCATATCTAGATCCTCCTTACTCTCTCTGTACTTCTCCATCAAACCTCTCAATAAATGCATAGCTTCCATAGTAGACTTGTCTGACATAAATCCAAACTGATTATGAAAAATTCTTGTATCACGCCTTAACTTATGTTCAATTACTTTCCATAATTTTAATGTATGACACAATAACTTAACTCTTTCATAATCCACACTCTTGTGCATCCCAGTTATTTTTAATAATGCGGATACTCTTCATCCACTCATTTGGCATCTTTTATTTTTAAAATAATATTCAAAAGTTTAGTAAGCCAAAAAATCATCAAATCTCCTAAATATTTTCATACTTCTATTGAGATACCACGAGGTAATACTAAATTTTCACCCTTGATTTTTTTTAAAGCCTCAACTTTCTTTTTACTAATGCGACGATAAACATAAAAAGTTTTATTATTATTAACGATGTTAAGATCACTAAAGTCGATCACCATTTTAACAAATTTATTGAAATGTTTTTCAAAATATCTTACGCACAAATGTTGAATATATTTATGAAAGAAAAGTACAATTAAATTTTCATCTTTAATACATTTTACTTACATTAAATCTTTATTTTTTTTCTCTTTGTTTAACTAGTTTATACATATATCTTTCACCCTTTTTAGTATCTAATCTATTATAAAATTCACCAAAAACAAAATTCTTAGCAGCACAAATAGTTCTCTTAGAATCCCTATAAAAAATAGTTCTCTTATAGTATCACAAATAGTTCTCTTATAAAATTCACCATATATTTTTCCCAAATCTATAAGCTTTTAAACTTAAACTGATTTTTATAACAAACTTCTTATATTTTACCTTATCTTGCATATTACTATTCCACAACCAACTATTGTATTTATAAAAAATTTTCATTTTATTTCTACAATTATATATTTTGTCACTTGTTTAATAATGTTTGTTATTCTATCTTACATAGAATTAGCTTCTTCACAAACAACACATCTTAAAATCTAGAAGTTTGCTCACAAAAATACTTTTAAGTGTGTTTTTCAAGTGTCATCATCTAATTCTATAACAATGTTTCCTTATATTTATTATCTTACAATTCTTTATCTAAAAATAAAAAAATTAATATTTGATAATAAGTACTTAAATTTTCACTTGGAATGACCTTACAATCTTTAAATTCTCTATAATTTTTGTCTCATAAGAAAATAATCAACTTGTGTTTTATTAGATCCATTCTTGTAAGTAATAACATGTTCATCTTTTTTCTTAAATAAAATATTAGCAATAACAAAATCATAAGCTAAAGTAAAATCAAATATGATTCTATCTTCTTCATTAATCACTCTAAAATTATAACTACCAAGAATATTTCTAAAAACTTCTCACTCTACCAACATATTCATTTAAATCTCCTCCAATAAAAATTCTTTATTCAAGAGGTATCATTTGTATTGATTCTTCTAGGTAATTCCAAAAATTTTCTTTTAAACATATATCTAAACCTACTTGAAGAGCATAAATACTTACAACATTAAGAATCTTAGTATCAATAACAATCTTAAAGGCTATAATTATATTTCTAATTCTATAAATTTTTACGACATTATCTTTCAAACTCTTATTTATAATTACACCTACACCAATTTTAGTATGACTCCCATATGAATACCAAAATTTAAAACTTAAGCTATCAATTTCCTTAGCATTTTCTCTAGCCCATTTAATTTCTTGAATGCATAAGATATTTATTTTTTTATGAATCATAATATCTACTAATTTCATTAATTTACCTGTGAGAATATCAATATTCCAAGATCTTCTAATAATAACAATTTCATAAACTAAATTTTTTGCCCGCATCTGTCCATAATGTGAGAACACTTGATTATTTAACACTACACTCAAACTCCAGTGTAGCAGCCTTTGCACTATTTTCACTGTATTCAGACCATACGTGTCTATTCAAGGAGATACCTAACATTTACACAACGATTATGGGATTCATGTTTGATTAAACCCAAAAAAAAAAAAACTATTAATCTTTAGTATTAGAATTGTTATGTGATTGAGCAAGGAGGATAATAAAGGGAATAAAAAACAAAATTTTTCATTTGTGTACTCAAAACATCATAATCATAGATATTTGTTGAAATAATGTGAGGGGTGTATGGAAAAAAATGGGCAATGATTAAGGTTCCACTGAGAATGAAAAGAGGAAGAGGAGATATAACTTCAGATGCAAGGTCTAGATACAAAAATTTCTTTTTAAGTTCTTTTATAAGAATTTCATAATCCATTCTCCCTCCCATCAGCCCCATTTATGAGCATACAAGCTTGGAAGGGATTATAACTTCTTTTTTTCACAATTGTTGGGTTGTAAGGAATACTCACATGTCTAATTAATAGATTATTTGGGTAGAGTAATGAGACTTGTTTTTTTTTTTATCATATGTTCCTGATGCCAGAGATTCATAGAAGTCAATGTATTTTTTATGTTTCAAAAACTTAATAAACTTTATATTAAATCAGCTTCAATGATATAAATTAAGGTTGCGAGTAATGATTTTCTTTTTAGAACTTGCATGATCAAATGTTTTCATATAATACAACAATATTCATCTAGACACCAATAAAAAAACATTATGCAAACATTAGCTTCTTGAAGAGAACACGGAAGTGGCTAACATCGAGGTAGAAGAAGGTTCCGATTTTGAAGGTATGAAAAAGAAGGCTAAGGTTATAAACCCCTTGTGGGATGAACTGAAGGCCAATTAAAGGATTCTAGCTCCACTTAAGCCACTGCATATCAGTTCTTAGGACATTCTTTTCTCAAGGGGGCAATATAAAAAAAATCATTTTCATTAGAGCCCCAAAAAGTTCGAGCCAGAGATAGACACTTGGAATTACTTCAGGTGATCCAAAAAGGGCATGAACAGAATAAAGAATGATAAGAATGATTGAAGTTTCATTAAGAAGGAAAATGGAAAGAAAAAATAAAAGTGAGTATGAGATGTAAGATCTTGACATGGGAATTTCTCCTAAAATTCTTCGTTAAAGGATAAGATCCTGCGTCTTCCCTCCCATCAATCCTTAGAAAGTCCTTATAAAAGCTATGCAAGCCTTTGTTCTAATCTATAATAAACATAAGATCATGCAAACTTAAAATCCTCTATTTTTCCACACGACACAGAGCTAAACTAGACATTGCGTTAGAACTAATGACAAGGCTTAGAGCCCACAATAATTACCTTAATTAAAAAACGACTTTATTCTTCAAAAAAATATTCATAAGAAACCATACGCAATCATCAAATCATCATTTCTCCCTCATATCATTGTTTCAAGAAGCAACATTCTTGATTCCATGGAACCTGCAAATCTTTTTAAATCTTTTTCCCTTGATAAGCTTTGAAGATTAGGAATAGGATAGCACAAGAATTTTTATTGATGCATGATCAATCTGCTCTCAAATTTTCACAAGATTCTACCTCTAATATAGACATTCTTGCTAGTGAAGAGAAGATCATAAATCTTTTGACACACTTTTTGATTGTCTTCTTACTTTCCAGGAGTTACTTCTTGCATGGCTTTTGCTACGCCTTATGCCTACGTTTGGATCCATTAAGAAATCATCATTTATGAATTGCTCATTGCCAAATGCAATTTACAAGTTCAAAGCTAGCAATGAGAGAGAATAAGAATATTGATTTTTCATCACTTTTTCTTGTTGTTTAGCTACTATTATAATAACAACTAGTTAGATATGAAAAAGGAAACATTTCTCAACAGTCACTAGAAATTTATAGGCTCCAAACTTGACTCTCGAGAGAGATTTTCATTGTTCTCCTGCACACTAAATTTTAGATAAGACACCATTAGATTGTCCTCATTTTAAGAGGATTTTAGGTTTCTCATATGTGAAAGCCTTTATAGCTAATTATCCATCACTAGTGATGAGAGAGAACTTTAGATTAAAATTAGTTTTCATGTGCCCAATACTT